CATCGTACTGTGGTACGTATTCAACAACCCTGGAGGCGTTGATCCTAGAATGGTGAGGAACCCGAAGCTTGCACTTACCACTCTCAGAAGGCGGCACAAGATAAGGAACGTCTCTTTTGCCAATTGATTGAGCGGGCGGACATTCGTTCAAAACGTAAACCTGCTCATCAGGTGGAATCACACGGGAGTCCTCAAACGCAAGAGATTTATCTCCTTGTTGCGCTCCTCCGCCTGTGGCAAAGCCTACCGGTGTGTTGGTCTTGCGGACGCAATGCATCATGGTGCTGTTCAAAGCCTGCTTACCGATGAGGTGGCGACCTGCAGCGGTGTCCCATAGCCAGCTGATGCTATTGTTCCTGGCGGGGACACTTGGAACTGCTGGGACTACGGCGGCAACAGCGGCCGGAGATTTCGCCTTACTGAGGGCCCGTGGAGGCGGCCCAGTGTACTTCTCAGTCGGTGAGAGGAGGAAGGCGCAGGACTTGGCCCTACACGCATCATAGGCATAGAACACACACGGAACGTTTGCCTTTTCAACGGCTGACATCTTTGCTGTCTTGGACACAGCCTTCGACCTCCGCGTGAGATTAGAAGGGGTAGTGTCTCCCTTGTTTGCACTTTGGGACTTTGGAGGAGGAGGAGGCTTAGGGTTAAACGGACTTTTACCTTTAGGCGCAGGAGCAGCTGGGGCGCCGCCTTTATCCTGCCCTTGATCCCCTTTCTTCTCACCTCTCTGGTTCTTCTTCTTCTCCTTCTTGGTCTCTGCTGGCAAGGCGCTGGTAGCTGCTTCCTTGGCCGTGCCACGAACAGCCGGTTTGAGCTTAACATCTTGATCAAACTCATCACGGTTGCGCTTTTGCTGGGCAAGCTCAATGGCCAGGTCTGCCCTCGCCCAAAGCCATGCACAGGTGCGGCGGTGGCTGTCGTGGGCGGACCCACGGGCCTTCTTCTCAACGCGATGCTTCATTATGGGACACTTCTCAAACTCGTCAATGAGATGATTGAAAAGGGTCCGTTCCTTGGGGAGCTCATCAAGAGGTATCGCACGGAGAATATAGCTGTACTTCTCACGGAACGCCTCGATGTCTGCTACTGACTGGCCGGCAAGTTTCAAACCTAGAAGATTGCGTTCTCCAAGGATGCCGATCCGGTCGTGCTCCAGTTGAAAGTGCTTGAAGATCGATCGCAACATCACGCGCCCATTGGGCATTGTACCTGCGGTGTTCCGCTCGTGCTCCACCATGTTTTGGAACAACAACCCAAACTTGCCTTTGCGACAGGTCTTCAACAGCTTGGCGGCTATCTCACGGGTTGTGCGTGGGAAACGTTTATCTGCTGAGTTGTTCCTCGGATGAGGTCAGGCAATCCTGAGCCCACAGACAGAGCTCGTCATCCGTCGTCTTTTGCAAACGTCCAATGGCCATGAGGACCTGATTCACATACCCACGCGCCTGACCGGCGTTTTTTGGCGGAAGCGGAAGCGTTAAATCCTTAAGGTCCTTGATGCGAACCACGGTTTCCTCATATGAGGCCGGATCTGATGCGCTTGTAGCAGCATCCCCACCACTTGCATCTGCTGCTTGAGTACCTTGTCCCTGCCCCCCACTCATGGAAAGGGAGGGGCAGGCGGTATCATCATGCGGGCCACCACAGACTCGGCATGAAGGGGTATGACCCTCGTCACCGGATTCTGAGGATGTGTCGGAGCTTGCCTCCAAAGGTGCAAGTGGGGAGGATGGGAATTGAGCCACTTGACTTGTACTTGCACTTGTTAGCCTAAGCGTGGGAACAGCAGTTGTGTGCTACGGAAGGTGGGGAAGCCCCTGATACCCCTACCTGGGCCACAACTAAAATTGAGAGTTGATGGAACAGCTCAGTTAAAGAGGACATTTGTGCCTGTACGTCTACAGGTCCCCTTACATCCTGAGTCCGAGCGACATCCGGTGGTTTTTGTGGTTGTGCACGTGGATCACCATCCTGGATTGGCACACGCTTGGCATCTGACTTGATGTCGGGCTGTGGGGGTGCGAAGGATTTTGGGAAACCAACAGGGGCACGCGGCGCTACCAGGGTCACTACTTGAACTTCCCGATGCGCCTAGAGCCGGGATCCGTAGGATTTTGACTTTCATGATTTTCATCCGGAGGTGCCGGAACATTTTGCGCCATGGATGCGACAGCCCTTTCTAGGTCAGCAAGGCGTTGCGACAACAAAAGGTTTTCACTACCTAATGTATCTATCACTTTACTTTGCTGGAGGATCTTCTGTTCCCGTGAGGAAATCTCTTGAATAGCCTCTTGCCTCAACCTGGACACTTCGGCTTCTGCGGCCGACCTTGCTTGTTGTGCTTCATGCCTAGCACGTTCAACATGGCCTACGGCTTCCTGTCTTAACAGATGGACATGGCCTTCAGCTTCCTGCCTCACCTGTTGAACATGGCCCCGGGCTTCCTGTTGAGTATGCTGTGCAGCTTGTTCAGCTAATGCGGTCTGAGCGCGGG